GTGTCAAGTTATAATTGTATAAATTTATAACTCCTAGTTATGACACGCATTTTCTGTTTTATGACATATAGAACATTACTTATGTTCTTGAAGGTTTTTACGACAGTAGTTTATGACATACAAATATTTCTGTCATAAAGGCTCTAATCGTACATTTTCTTGCCACAAATATTTACATTAAATATTCATAAATAATCACGAGTAGTTTGTTAATCTGGAAAAAAACTATGAGTATGACATAATTTTCCAAAATAAACCTTGTATTTATGTTTGGTCAAAAATGATCCAACATATTATTATGTCCACACTTTAGTCATTTTTAGAGTATTTTGCCCAACAACTTATGTAATTATTAAAATAAATCCTTATGGTTGTTCTTGATTCCAAACTTGATTTGTGAGATTTAATCCAAACTCTTGAGACTTAACCAAAAACTCGAGTTTTTGGACTATTTACAAGACTTTTCATACTTAGACACATGTAAGATGGCATATATACACAATAAGCAATTAAATCATGATTTACACAATACTTTGACTTGCATTCTCCCCAAAAAATAGTAAAAACTTAAAAAAAAGGTGGGGTATGAAGCTCACCTTGAGTTGGTTGATGAGTTGTTTGGAGTTATGGAATGAAGATCTCAAGCTTAAACTTTTGGCTGAGATGAGGAACTCCTCTGGGAAGAATGTCGTCCTAAGGTTGACTATCACATATTATTATGAGTAAAATAATATGGATTCATCTTGAAGATTATATAAAATCCTAGATGAGTGGAGAACTTACTTTAGAAAACTCCAGGGAAGATTTGAGAATTTTGCTTCTAGCAAGGTCGTTAACTTTGCTCTTGGGAGGAGTATTTGAGAGAAAATGAGAGTGTTCTTAGGAGTTTACTGAATATGGATATGAGAAGTGAGAGAGTATTTCACGTTTTCAATAAGGGAAGATAAGGAGTGATTTGATATTTGCTTGGAGTACTGGTGGGTAATGTCTATCACTAAGGGTTAATGCATAGATTATTGGGATTTGCATGGGAAATGAATAATTAACATCAAGTCAAAGCCTTGTCCTCTTAGAATCCCTTCATAAAAACCTTGGGTATTATTTCATATAAATATGTTTAAAATAATTAATTTTGGCATAAAATAGGGGTTTAAGGGGTCCTAGATATGAAAAAAATGAGTTTGGTGCGATTTCCGACGCCAAAATGCCTTAAAATGATGAAATGGTCTGGAAATGGCAAAAATCCGAAGTCAAAAGGCGAGGTCCGTAGGGCTGAGGGAAGTTTCGGAGGCTCTTTTCAAGGTTCCGGGGTCAATAATCAAATTTCTAGGCTCTCCTTACAGTTTCGGAGTCAGATGCGAAGTCCGGTCCGACCAGGGGTTTCCGAAGCGAGGCAAAACAAGGAGCATCAGGAGCTGCGAGATTGTCCGGATTAAGGCATTCCAAGATGCGAAATTGTCCGGATCCGGATGCTTCCTATATGCGAGGTCTGAAGCAAGGCTTCACCCTTCCAGAGCAGGTGAGATCTGAATCAAGGAGGGGAGTTTCGAAAATGTGCTTCCTCTTGGCTTCTAAGAAGGCATTCCGGACGAGAGGTTCAGGACCAAGAGGGTTCCAGACGAGAGGTTCAGGACCAAGAGGGTTCAGGACCAAGGGGTTTCCTCTTCCGGTTTTGCGTTGTTTTCGACTAAGGAAGGTACTTAAAGAGATTTGAGAGAGATTTGGGATACATGGAGAGATTCACATACTTGGAGAGATTTGGGAGAGATTCGATACACTTGGAGAGATTTCACATACTTGGAGAGATTTGGGAGATATTTCACATACTTGGAGATATTTGGGAGAGATTCGATATACTTGGAGAGATTTTACATACTTGGAGAGATTTGGGAGAGATTTCATATACTTGGAGAGATTTGTATTCTAACACTACATGGCTCATTATGAACTCATATTTTACACTTAGATTTGTTAGCACAAGTCTTACAATTGTCCTTGCTTACTTGAGGACGGAATTTCCTAGCCAAAAAGGCTAGTTGTGACAATTTGTTTTTTGGTTTGTAAGTGTGTGAAGAAGCGGGTCAACCTATACGCCAATGACTACAAAAACTCAAAAAGACTTTCTGGTATGAATTGTGTGTCTACTCTGATTTTGGTTCTATGTCTTAAACAAAGATAAGAGAAGCTAAAGAGTAAATTTTTAGTTTGGAATTAATTTTAGTGTCAATGCTTTTACACTTGCTTTAAATTTTAAAATTATTTCTATCATTTTATGACGACATTAGTTAAATTCAATTATTATAGTGTAAATGTATCCACGAGTTTTAAACCTAGTATTTTAATAAAAAGAAATAAAAATTTGATGCTAGCATGCTATATCGTTATTTATTCCATTTATAGCCCTATAAACAGTGAAGTATCCACCATGTGCTTATGTAGGTCCTAAGTTCTCAATTTCATTTACTATATGTATAGTAGAAAAATTAGAAACTACCTTAGAAAAAATAGAGTACTTACATTGAGTTTGTTTTTTGAAAAAAAATCTTAAAAAACCATTTTAAAAAGGAAAAAATATAAGTTATTAGGGGCAATTTATTATTTTAAATTATGAGATTGATAAAAAAAATTAATCATTCTTAATCGGCACTCTTAAAATATTAATAAATAAATAAGTTGTTCTAATAAAATAAAAGCCCACATGCCAAAGACTCTCATGTGCTGTTTGTTTTTTTGAAGCCAAAATGTCTGCCGTCTGCGGACCACATCTGCAAGCTTCTGCGGCAGAAGAGATGAACCAAATGTCTACAGTTTGCAATAAGAAGACTATTTGTTTTTAATGTCTACGACTTTTGAAATAAATTGATTTTTCAAACTTAATTTCATGCCATAAACATTAAAAATGCATTTTCAGCAAAAAAAGAAAGAAAGAAAACTGCATGGTAGGCAATTTTTTTTTTGTTTGTTTAGGTTAAAATGAGGTCGGAAAACCTTTGAAGACAGTGTCTCATGTCTGCACTGGGAAGACCTCATGCAGTCGTTTTTTGATCTGCGCACTTCCAAAAAACAAACAACTTGTGAGGGTATATGTCTGCGTGTTGCTTGCGCGGCGCATATAAAAGTGGTTGCACATGTCTTCACAAAAAAAAGCAAACAACCCTTCACTCTCCGTTCGACGTTTTATCAATGAACTAATAATTAACTAGTTTTTCGTTAAACTGCACGCCTTTTTAAGTTATATTTCAATCGGTTTTTTTAAAATTTTTAATCGGTGGCACAAGATACATGAGCCGATTGAACTGGTTTAGTTCTTTTAAAGTACATGAGCTGATCCAATCCGATCCCAAAAGTGTTGTTGATTTTTTTATTGGCTTCACTTAATTTAGAAACCACGTCAATTTTTATTCTAGATTCGCCTATAAATAATCTACTAGAAATAAACATAGACATGTAGTTGTACACTTGAACTTGAGAATTGATACATTGTTATGAAGGCTTCAATCCAACGTTTATATCTTATGAATCAAATAGAAAACCGACCCAACCCATTTTCCAAATCAAAAGCGGGTCAAACCTGGCCCATCGGGCACAACCCGAGCAAACTCTTGTAATTCATAAATCTCTATGAACTATACTAATATAACTACGTGAAGAAAGAGTAATTTTGTTGGGACATTTCTGGTAAAATTTCACATATGAAAAGCAAAATCACAACAACACTTATTCCAACACTTTTGACATTTCAAGCAAAAATTCTGCCTTCATGAGTTCATTTATCTACTTACTGTTTATTTGACTTACTTCATTTGCAATTCATATCTTTATTCTCCATGTTATGTTTCTGAACCACATCTAAAAAGAAAGATCATAAAAGCAAAATGACAATCACACAATGAAAGAATTCTTTATTACTAAAATACATGAATCCATTGGCCAATCTATAAAGACAACCCTACTGAACTAGGTTTTAAAATAAAACTCATTGGTCCACATTTGTGCCGAAAGAATTATAAACTAATGGGAACAAGCACGACCAAAAAATGGTATCAAACTTTTGACTAACTGCTTGACTAGATTTTATCATCTTTAGTTGAATATACAAGTCTTTAGTTTATGTATATATTTATAAAATCAGTAAACTTTAGAGTAAATTACATTTTTGTTTCCTGAGTTTAACTGATTTGTCGATTTTGGTCCCTAAAGTAATTGGGTTGCAGTTTTGGTTCTTATTTTATTTCGGTATTTCATTACATTTTGGCCATGGGTCATGTATATAAAGAGCCTAGGAGTTATTATTATTATTATTATTATTATTATTATTTACTTTTTACAGTGTTCATCTTTCCCTTGGACAAAAACTGAAAAATATAACATACAATAGGGATCAAATTTGTAATTTTTTTTGTTATAAAGACTTACATAACTTTTATATGTTCACATTGTCTTTTGAATTATCGGCATATTAATATATTTTGTTAAAAACGTTATATTTACAAAATACACCTACAAGTAAATCATATATTTTTCTCATGGTTGCACCATATATCCTTAATTATGGTATGTATGTTGTGTTTTCCGGTTGTGGTCCATGGAAAAAATGGTGGTTTAAAAAATTTAACAATTGGGCTATTAACATAATCGATGTAGGGACGAAAATCATTAGGAAACTTCAAAATAATGTCCAAAATTGCAACCCCATTTTTGTACGGTCCAAAACCGAAAAAACCATCTAAACCGAGGACCAAAATTGCAAATTACACAAAACTTTATATAATTCTTTTGACCATATCATAGAGAAAGAGACAAACATCTGCATTATTTTCAGGAAGCCTGTTCTTGGTACGGGCTAAATGAACAAACAAGAAAGCTTCACTTGGAAGATTTTACACTACCTTTTCTTGATGGATGATTAAACAAGGCAACTAAGAAAGCAAAAAGATCCTCCTCACGGATGCTTATATACTTATATATATATACATATATCATAAACAACAGTAAAAATCCAATAAACCCACCAATCATCAATCATGATTTCCCTAAATGATGTTTATCATATTGTGGCAGCCATAATTCCATTATATGTGGCCATGATCTTGGCTTACGTTTCTGTAAAATGGTTGAAGCTATTCAACCGAGACCAATGCTCGGGTATAAACAAATTTGTTGCTAAATTTTCAATTCCTTTGTTATCTTTTCAAGTGATTTCCAAAAGTGATCCTTTCAAGATGAACCTCAAGCTAATTGGTGCTGATGTTCTTCAAAAAGTCATTGCCTTGATTATGGTTGCTATAATTACCAAAGTTAGATCCAATGGACACTTAAACTGGATCATAACAGGTATTTCTTTGTCAACATTACCCAATACTTTGATCGTAGGGATCCCATTACTAAAGGCAATATATGGAGATGAAGCACATGCGCTTCTTGCACAGATAATTGCATTACAAAGCCTAATTTGGTACAACTTCTTGTTGTTTCTCTTTGAGTTTTCAACTGCAAGTGAAGCTCACATGATAGAAGCACAAGGTACATATGTATTTATCTGTTAAAATGTTGTTTACTTTTTTTTTTTTTTAAAACTTTTTGTTAATGTCATCATATCGTCTATTGATTGACTCAAGGGGATCCAGAGGTCGAGCAAGAAGCACAAGAAATTGATGAAAGGGAGGGGACAAAATCAAGAACTCCAAAAAGAAGAAGACTAATTATCATTTTATTAACTGTTGGGAAGAAGCTTCTAATGAATCCTAATTTTCATGCAACTGTAGCAGGCATTGCATGGGCAAGCATAAGTTTTGGGTTAGTTTGTAAAAAGTTGTTAGATTACAAATACAGTAATTAATTAGGTCAAATTTATTAAAGAAACAATAAACATGTTGAACTTAATTCAGGTGCAATGTGAAGTTGCCAAAGGTGGTTGAAAATTCGATAACTATATTGTCTGATGGAGGACTTGGAATGGCAATGTTTAGCCTAGGTAACAACATATATAATATATTAATTTTAGTTGTAATATATATAACATTGTGAAATTACAAGACATAGAATTAAAAGAAATTAATTACACTTTGCTAATTTGTATTATTTGATCACAGGTCTATTCATGGCATCACAGGCCAGTATAGTAGCTTGTGGTACCCGATTGGCCTTATTAGCAATGTTCTTGAAGTTCATTGTTGGGCCTGCAATAATGGCAGCACCCTCCATTGCTATTGGATTAAAGGGTGTACCATTTAAAATCGCAGTTATACAGGTAATTGCTATAGGTTTATACCATGTTTTTGTTTTCGTTATTATATTTATAATATCATCAAATTTAGGATACGTATAAATGAATTAATAAACAATATATATTGGTCCAGGCAGCACTTCCGCAAGGAATTGTCCCATTTGTATTTGCCAAAGAGTATAATGTTCATCCGGATATATTGAGCACTGGGTATTACGATTGTTGCTTATTTCTACAAGTAGACTTCAGGTAACAACATGAAAATTAATCGACTAATTTGGATATATATATATATATTACAGGATAATCGTTGGATTGCTTGTGGCATTGCCCATTGCAGTGGTGTACTATTTGTTGTTGGGATCATAGGTAATGCACAAAAGGCAGGAAGTGAGGGAATTATATGTATGTATGTATGTATATGGCTTGTGAAATTCTTTATTCATCTGATAGAAAGCTTTCGGGCATGTGAGCAAAATAACCTAATAGAATGGGATGGTAGAGATTATACAACGTGTGTGTATTGTGCATATATAATTTTATGTGAAAACAAATTTGTTCAAACAAATGATTGAATAAACTAGCAGCTGGCATACCAAGAGGACAGGAATCAAGCATTATTTATCATATTTTAGCTTATATTATAGAAATGTTAAAGGCTTCATAGTAATTTTAGAAGACTTTCGATCTACATGCTCTAACTCGCTTAACTTCTACTGATGCACATTACCAACAGACTCCATGGATACAATTGGGCAAAACCAAATATGTAATTTGATACAAAATTAGACATTTATTCAAGTTAAAAAGTGATCATGCATCATTCCAAGAATGGGTTTTTTACTATAGCTTTGATCTTGTTCATCATATCTCTTGAAATCAAATCCGTGAATTGTATCTCGGAGAATAAGGATACACTATGATGGTAAAGTCATTATTCCATGAGAGAAGAATACCTTTTGTCTCATCACATATAGATTGACTCGTTGGAATAAGGAAATTTGGAAAAGACAGATAATGGTCATTTCATATGCCTTGGGCTTGGCCTCAACTACATTGGGGTCAACTCGACCTTGGATACCTTGGGCTTAGCCTCAACCTTGCTTGCCTTTGGCTTGGTCTTTTTAGGTTAACCTTGTCCTTAGGCTTGGCTTTACTCACTGAAGAAGGTGTGGTCCACCGTTATCTCCATAATTTGAAATGACATGAAAACTAGACAATAATTTGTACTATATGTACTTTTGGAAAATTATGCATTGGCTAATTGCATTTCCATCTTTAAACTGTGTATAACATTTAATGATCTTTTGAGTACCATTTGGAAACTATTTAATATATGTGTTCATATGGAAGCATTCGTGAGAATACTTGAGTACTCAAGATATTGTTGGACAAGGAAATCCAGAAGTACTTTGGTATAAGTATACTTATAGGGTGCTGCTAATAAGACACCCCTTAAACACTCTATCATCACTTGTATAAAAAGTCAACCTATAATGAACTATTTGTAATCAGCTTTTTCGGAAAACAATAAAATTTCAACCAATAAAAATATTTCAAAAATTAATTTAGAGTTGTCTAAATGGTAAAATGGGGTGTCTATTTAGCCAACCCCATACTTATATTGTTGTATTCTTGGAGGAAATTTGCGCGTTTTGTACCCTTTCCCGAAACCACTTGGAATTAGGGAGTCAACACCTAAGAGTAGCCCTTGTGGACGTGTAAACATGTGGATTGGGTGCTAAATGTGTAACCCTTGAGTACCTACATCCTTCATTGTTAGGAAAATTATGTAAACATATCTTCATAAATCGAGAGTCTTCGAAAAAAAGGAATGGAAATCGAGAATCTAGGAAAAACTGAAAACATGTCATACATTGCATTTATATACACTATCATCTTTAAATGGTTGATATGCATTTATTTAAATGTATGTTTAGAAGCTAAGGGGATGTTTTTATGATGGCAAACTTTTATAAAAAATTGTGTATTTTGGAAAAAGTGAAAAGAGTTTTAAAGTAGCCTATTTAAATGTACCTACATATGATGTCTACCTCCTATATGATGTCTAAATAGAACCTATGAAGAATGTTTCAGAATCACATCCAAAATTAGAACTATATTCCATCCTTGAATTTAACAAATAACTTGTCATATGGAGCCTAATATTTAGATGATTGTACCCTATTTGATCCCTTTGTCATAGATAGGCGTGTAAATAGTCATGATTGATTGGGTGAGGAGGAAAAGGCATCCAAATGAGATATGAAGATATAATAAGGTTAGACACAAACTAGTTTCCTTTTTCCAAGGATATTGTTAAACCCCTTATACAAGTTGTTTGAAATAACAATATACTTATAAAAATATTTCATTCAATTCATACTAACATTAGGAACCTCAGTCAGATCATGATAAATATCAACTTTAAACTCATAAGATGTAACTCAAATAGGTACAAAAGAATGTGGTGGGATGTCAAGTCCACCAAACAAATTACACCATTTGTTTGCAAATAAAACGTAATATAATGCTGAAAGACTTGAATAACTAAAAACTTGCAATTAAGCAAGAAAGTATGATGCTCAAATATTGGAGAAAATTGGTAAACTAATGCAATTCAACACAACGAACATTTGTGTGTTTATCATTAGGATTTAACATAAAGCTTATCATTCATCCCAAATTGGTTATAGCAATCATGAAGCATGATATGCCAAGATTTCTCATAGGTAGTATGGAGGTTGGGGAAGCCCACAACATACCTTCTTAATCACAATTAAAGATCCAATTGAAGCAATTGAACCCAAGAAGTTGATTAGCCTTAAGAATGAAGAAATCATCAATTCCTAGAGGATGTCAATGCTTACACATCCATAAAGGAGTTATGATTCATAAACTAGAGATGAGTTCTCCAAACGATTTCTAAAGAGAGCGCTTTTGTTGTCACATAATAAAGTTGGACGATCTGGAGGTAATGCATGGATCTCGCGAAGTAGATGAGTTATCCAAACGATTCTGACCGTCGTGTTTGCCATATCTCTAAATTCTGATTCACAACTCGAACGAGAAACGGTAAGTTGTTTCTTTGCACTCTATGAGACAAGATTTCCACCTATTGAGTAGCCATACGTAGAGCGTCTAGTCTCAACACATCGAGCTTAATCGACATCCGAATAGCCAACGATGGAGGAAGTCTTTGGTTTAGTGAAGTGAAGACCAAATGAAAGAGAGCCCTTCACATATCGGAGAATGCGTTTGACCCCTTGAAAGTGAGAGACCGTTGGAGCTTGTAAAAATTGACTAACCTGATTCACGACATAGGAGATGTTTGGTTTAATGATCGTTAAGTATTGAAGGGCCTCAACAAGAGACCGGTAAAGTGTATTATCTTTGAAAGGAACACCGGGCGCAGTGAATGACTCATGAGGAGCCAAGGGTGTGTGAATCGATTTGGCATCTAGAAGATCAGCAAGATCAAGGATATCACGAGCATATTTAGACTGACTTAAAAATAGGCCATCATCGGTGTAGGCCACCTCTAGTCCCAGAAAATAATTCAAGTCACCAAGATCCTTTATGGCGAACTCATTATTCAATCGAACTATAAAAGAAGTAATCATCGACTCTTGATTACCTGTTAAAATCAAATCATCAACATAAGCTAGAAGATACATCATACAAGAGTCACGCTTAAAGATGAATAAAGAGGTGTCAGCACGACTACATGAGAAGCCATTTTGTAGTAAAAAGGCACTTATTCGTTGAAACCAAGCTCGAGGAGCTTGTTTAAGCCCATATAAAGCCTTATGTAGGCGACAAACATGATCGGGAAACCGAGTGTCAACAAATTTGGGTGGTTGCTCCATAAAAACAGTATCACTTAAATGGTCGTGCAAGAATGCATTTTTTTACATCAAGTTGATGTAGTTTCCAATGATGAATTACCGCTAATGAAAGAACAATTCGAACGTTTGATGCTTTGACGATCGGGCTAAAAGTATGAGAGTAATTGAGACCTGGAATCTGTATACAGCCTTGAGCCACAAGGTGAGCTTTATACCGCTCAATGGTGCCATCAGAATTAGACTTAGTGCGAAACACCCATTTTGATCCAACCACATTTCCCGATTGAGGTCTAGGAACAAGAGACCACGTTTTATTTTATCGGAGAGCATCCATTTCTTCATGCATTGCTAACATCCATTTTGGATTTTTGGATGCCGACTTGAATCCTTTGGGATCATGAGATGCAAAAAGAGTCGAATAAAGCCAGTGAGCGTCAAGATGGGCTAAATCAACCTGATGATGCGGCTTAAAAATTCCCGCTCAAGCACGGGTGATCATCGAGTGAACCAGTAGAGTATTTTCAATAGTAGTAGCAGGAGTGGGTGCTGGATCAACAATAGTGGGCTCAGTTGTTGGATGAGAGGCCGGTAGGTCTTGGTTGATGAGTGGAACCGATGAGACAGATTCTTCAATGGAAACAGGCCCAGTGGAGGTAGCTGGAGCAGACCCAGTGAGAGGATCCAAACAACTTCAGCATCCGAGTGGAATGGAAGTATCTGATAAAGTACTTGTTGTAATTGTGGCTGCAGGTGAAATTGATGGGGAAGAAGAATCATCCAAAAAACTTGTTATTTGAATATTTGACAAGTCGGAGGTGGATTTATTTCCCGATAATGAAAATGAGGCTTCATCAAATCGGGCATTCCTTGTAACATAAATGTGTTTGCCGATGGGGTCAAGACATCGATAGCCTTTGTATTGCAAGCTATAGCCAATGAAAACACACGGTAGGCTTCTCGGAGCAAACTTGTTTTCCGAATAGTCACATAAAGAAGGAAAACAAGGCAACCATAAGCACGAAAATTAGAGTAGTGTGATACTTGAGAAAATAATAACTAAAATGGTGATTTTCCATCCAAAACTTTAGTAGGTAGCCGATTTATGATGTAGACGGCCGAGCTAAAGGCGTCAACCCAATAAACGTTGGGAATATGACTATTAACAATCATTTCTAGTCAAGTTTCTACAATATGACGATACTTTCTTTCCACCCTACCATTTTGTTGCGGAGTGTAAGGACAAGAAAGACGATGAAACGTACCATTAGCTTCAAATAAAGAGCGTACGTTGTGGTTCACAAATGCAGTTTCGCCATCACTTTGGAAGGTTTTAATTTTCTAGAGAACTGATGTGACATCCCCAAAATCACAAACAAAAAAGACCGGTTTAATTTATGCTTTTAAAATAATTTCAGAGTAATCATTTGATTAAAAAAGTTGTAGAATTCGTTCCCAAAACAAAATATGATAAAATAAGATTTACCAAAGCATTTCTTAAAGAAATGTATTTTCATTGTATAACAAAACTCGGGATGTCATGTCCCGATAAACAGACCAAAAACATAAACATTACATTACAGACCTTACAACAGTTATATAAAACAACAGGTCCATAATCCAAAAATAACTTGACAAGTCATCTAACTTATGCTCTTGCGCCACTACCTGTAATACAAAGAAAACTGAGTAGATCGGGCTTGGGA